AGAATACATAACTTTATAAGGTTAGGTTAAGTTATGCTTAACTGCAAACAACTTTGTGAAACATTTCCCTTACTTTTTATTGTTTTTAAAACATGGGCTAAAAAGTGAGCATGCTTACAGGTATTGTGTATTCCGGAATTGCTTTGAATTGGAGTTGGTGAGTGTTGGAACAAATAAATCCCAGACAACTTATGATTTAATTTTATAGGCACACATTCATAAATTGGATTTAGGCAGTAATTCCAGAAAAGCATACACAGGAGAACCATTTGCTGTGTGTTCATTTATTCTACAAAGATTTAGTGGGTACCCATATGTTGAAGTCTGCTAGATCCTGGAGGAGGGGAAGTAAGAGGATTTAAATATTGCTGCTCATACTTGGTAGAAGGGGAGATGTTTCTTGGGTGTGGGTAGTGGGTGAGAGAAGGGAAAGGGTGTTCTGATGCAGGGTCAGGGAAGGCTTCTTGGAAGAGGTGGCATTTGAATTGTTTTCTGAGAGACAGCTGTTTATTCTCTTTGACTAGTCTGTTTCATGTGACATCTTTGGTTAATTACTCTCTTTCTTGAAACTCTTCCCTCATTTGATTTTCTAGCACTCTAGAATCCAGCACCACCTGGATTAACATTCCTGTGTTACCTGTCAAGACTTTTATGGTTCCCATATCTCCTAGGTCCTTCGTTCTTTCTTTCCTTCTTTATCAGTGGTACCCTTTACATCTTCAGCTTTGAATATTTCCCTGGATGGTTAATCGTAAACTGAGTTTGAGCCTAAGCTGTCTCTGAACCTCTATCCTGCATTTCCCGCTGAGGCCTCCCTAGCCGCTCACATTTAATTTGTCTGAATCTGAACTCTCCCCTGCAGTGTACAGATTCCCCCCCACCTTCCTTTTTCTTTGCCGTTGACTGTTGAGTGCCTACTATGTGCTAGGTGCTAGTTTATCATTCCTTTGATTCCTTAGGCTTGGAGTCTTAGAGTCATTTTTGTTCTGTCTCCTTACCACCCATCTAAAGGAGTATTTTATTTCTCTTAATTCTATCTAATGTTTTACAGTCTTTTTAGTTCTGTTCATGCCCATTATCTGTATGCTTGGCTCACTGTAGTGGTCTTCTAAATGTGGACTGCCTTCTTCATTATCAGCATCACCATTGCCTACTGAGTGTCTACTATGTTCAAAATGTTGCTAACATGCCATGTTGTATAGATTGGAAAATGAACTAGTGGGTGAGAGAAAACAGACCTGGAATGAGAAAGGAGACCATCCTCAACTCCACGGTGATAAGGCAATGGCAGAATCAGCAGTGCAGAGTGAGACCGATGGCATCTGGAGGAGGAAGGGTACTTAAGCATGTGGAGAAGGTTTGGGGGAAGGTATTGAGTGGTCAACATGTGAGGGGTAGAAATCCACATGGTGTGGCAGGAGAGCTGTGAATTGAAAAGTTCAGTTGGGACTGGACTGTGATAGGTGTAGTATGCCTGCATGAGAAGTCTGGGCTTTGTCCTGTAGAAGTGAGGATATAGAGAGGGCATGGACAGAGCTGGGGAGAATGTCGTATAAGAAAAATGCTCTTTTAAAGAAAATGTGGAGGTGGTGTGTAGGCTGGCTTTGAAGGAAAGAAAGGCCAATTGGGACCTCACACAAGTTGGCTGTGACAGTTTTGTTTCTTTTCTCTAATTCATTCAAAACATGGAGGCTGCCAGGTTAAGTTTCTGGGTCACAGCTTTGATCATATCCCTCTCCCGCTTAAATGCCCCCAAAGATTCCCTGTGCCTTGAGTGGTTCTTTGGCCGGCTCTGGGGTGGCCTTCGTAATCACAATTCAGCTCACCTTTCCAGCATTATCTCCTCCTCCTCCTCTTCAAGCACCAACATGGGCTCTCACAGATTTTTCCTTTTCTCGAACACTGTTTGGGAAATTATGCTAATTGAAATTTCACCAGCCTTCTGCATGCTTATGATGCCTTCCATGGCCCTCTCAGTCAGTAGTAGTATTCTTACCCCTGCTCTTCCCTAATGTGTACTGCTTGTACTGTTTATTTTTGGTTAATCAACAGCTGGCATGATTTCTTCTGTAGCTGCTGAAACTGTGGAATTAATGTTCATATTGCTGTTGAACATTTCAGTTTTGTTTCTCCAATAGTCTATAATGTCCTTAAGGGCTGGCCCCATGCTTGACACTTTTGTATGTGGCTACAGCCAAGATATGGGTATCTGCTACTGCCCCTGTCATGCTGTTTGGAACATGGTAATATTTGCTGACCTTCAGTTTTTTTCCGAACAGCCAGGCAGATTTTGCAAGATTCTTGAGGCCCAGGGCAATAACATATTTGAAGATCCCAGCTTTTACCAGGATGGTGGGCATTGGATGACTAGATCCAGGAAGAACTTTTGTTTCTTCTAGTCTTATTGTACCTTCTGTGGGTGAGTTTTTTTTCCAGTGACCACAGAGGAGTCAGGAATATCCCCTTGACTTATATTGGGTTCCCAGCTCCCATTACAAGTGGGTCTTTTTTTCAAAGGGAGTAGTCTAGTTTGAGTTTTGTCTTGAGATAATTGTCCCTGAAAACCAGGATGTGATGTCAACCAAGTTAAACTTTTTTTATCCCAACTATACAGAACTAAGTTAAAAATGGATGCTTATACTTTGCTGTTAAGTAGGTTGGAAGACTCTGCAGAAGCAAAATTAACATTATATAGATCAGAGAAATAATTGCAAGCACCTAAGTTAACAAAGACTAAAGGCTGGAAAACTTTGAATTGGGGTGTTAAAGCACGTGCTTTTTAGATAAAGGTGATGTAACCTGAGGATTCTAGATTAATTTTCTTCCCACCTCCAGGGTTGGCAGGCTGGTGTACATTCGAGGTAAGTGCTAAGGGGACACACGGGATGGCTTTATGTTTTTTTTTTTTTTTTTTTTTTTTTTAAGATTTTATTTATTTATGTGACAGAGATCACAAGCAGGCAGAGAGGCAGGCAGAGAGGGGGGAAGCAGGCTCCCCACTGAGCAGAGAGCCCGATGTGGGGCTCGATCCCAGGACCCTGGGATCATGACCTGAGCTGAAGGCAGAGGCTTTAACCCACTGAGCCACTCCGGCACTCCTGGCTTTATGTTTTTATTGAGGAGCCTCGTGCACCATTTTTCCAGTAATGTAAACCGTATTATTTTGTAAGGTGTGACAATTGGGACTTTTGGATACCTGACTCTTCTGTGTGTGCTATGCAAAGGAAGGGACAAAAATGAATAATATAAGCAAGAGAGCTGAGAATATTCAAACGAGCAAACAGTTTTAAGTTCTTTTAGCTGCTATAGAGGCACTTATGTGGAAACAGCTGACCTACTAATGAGAAAACATCCTTGCCTTTCATTAAATTAATTATCCTAAAGAATTCTGCTAGGCAACACTTTGTCTAGTTCTAATTATTGTGTGCCTTTGAAAGCAATAAACTGCGCTTTCAGAATAAAATTTTATAATGTAGACATATACATGGCTTACTCAGACACTTCCTGTAATTAGAGTGGGGTAGTAATGACGGGTTATTCTTTGGTTTTTATTAAAAAGGCTTATCTACCTCTTCATAGGGAGATTATAATGAATTATTAAATAATGTATGTTTAGATCTGAGAACTCCTTGGAGATCATTATTGTTCAAATATGAGAGGTTTTTAAGGTTATCTTTTCAGATTACCATGGATCTTTTTTTTTTTTTTTTACAGATTTTATTTATTTATTTGTTAGATTGAAAGAGAGAGACAGAGAACACACAAGCAGGGGGAATGGCAGGCAGAGGGAAAAGCAGGCTCCTCACTGAGCAGAGAGCCTGATGTGGGACTCGACCCCAGGACCCTGGAATCATGACCCAAGCCAAAGGCAGATGCTTAGCAGCTTAACCAACTGAGCCACCCAGGTGTCCCTTTATATATATATATATTTTAAGAATGAACATCATATTATGACTAAATACGGTGGTAAAATTTTTCTGTCATAAACATTATGTTCAAATAAGGATAAGGTGAATCGCCATTCATGCACTTGCGTTGCCCTGCTTTTTTTTTCCACTTTGCCCTGCAGAGTTTTTTTCTAACCTTAGAACCCTGGTTAAGAAGTATAGTGAAAGAACGCACGCTGTATACCCCGTGGTCTGCACCTGCGAGCAGCTGTGTGAGAGCTGAGCTGATGTGAACGAGGAGCGGGTGCTGCCAAGGTGCGCTCGGCTGGCTCTTGAGCAGCGTTTGGACTGGGCCATATGCGTCCGTCTTAGGAGCCTGTGCTTCAGAGGCCGGTGCCTGGGTTCAAAGCTTCCATCCAGCATGAGGATCTAACCATTCTGCAGCTGGGTGACCTTGGGCAAGTTACTTAAGGCTCGTTGTTTATCTGTAAACGGGGCTAACAGTAGTTCGCACCTCCAAGGGCTGTTGTGAGGAACAAATGAATTATTGCATGTAAAGTGCTTTTCCGTGGTAAGGGCTTTGTTCACTTATCCATGCATCCACTCATTACTTATTCATTCCACTCCTGTTGATTGTACACTCACTGTGTGCGGGGCCCTGCTGCGGAGGCACCTTAGGGGTATAGCAGTCAGACAGATGAGGTCCCTGTCCTGTTGGAACCTAATTCTAGGGGGAAGAAACAGACTGTACATGAGTAAACCAGTTAACAAGGTCAGGCACTAATAAGTGCTAAAAAGACAATAGATAGGGAAATAGTGACTGGGTTATGAGGAAAGAGGTCAGTGTTAACTAGGGTGGGTAGGAGCTTCTGAGGAGGTGATGTTCAAGCTTAGGCCTGAGTGATAAGAGCTAAATTCCAGCTCTGATTAAAATGAGAGTTTTCCTTTGTGTTGGTGGCTGTCTCCATACTCTTCCTTTACAATCTCTTAACATCAGTATAAAATCCTTTGTAGCAGGATACTGCTCAGAGATCTTGAGCCCCTCTCCTGATACCACATGACTGTGTTCAGACAAGTCATTATCAACATCTTGGAGCTCATTTTCCCCAAACTTCATCTTGTCAGTACCCAGATCTGGCCACCCCTGGGTTTCTCTCCCTTGGCTCCAGCTGGTTGCTCACCCACCTTATTATGCCTGAGTTCCTGGAAGAGCCTGACTCTGTTATTCCCAACCGATAGAAAGTACAGGACTGGGTTAAGGCAGCTGCTCATGCTCACCAGAGGCCTCCATATCTTATAGGCCATGCTGGCCACCATTAAGAGCTGGCAGTCCTGTGAAGATAGAAAGCGGAGTGTGAGGTAGAAGGAACGTGTGATGTGGAAGGGGACAAAGCAGAGGGTGAAGAGGCCGCACACCAGCAAGATGGTCCGGATGGACTTGGCCCGGGCTGTATTGCCTGTCCTCCTGAGGGTCTCTCCTGGCTTGATCAGGCTCCTCACCATCAGCGAGTAGCACACCAAGATGACCAACGAAGGTAAGGCGAAGCCAGACAGTGTCAGAACCATGCCATAGGCAAAGAACTGATCAAAATTCTCTGGGCCGGTCATGTCGTAGCAGACCATCTGGCCATCGATGTAGTCTGTGTGGGAGAAGAAGAGGGTGGGCAGTAGCTGGAGGACCACCAGGGCCCAGGTGGTGGCCGTGCCCAGGAGGGCGTGCCGGCGGCTCCTGTAGGGCAGCGAGCGCAGCGGGTGGCACACGCCCAGGAAGCGGTGTGCGGAGATGCAGGTCAATAGCAGGATGCTGCCGTAAAGGTTGGTGTAGAACAGGAAGCGCACCAGCCTGCACAGCAGCTCCCCAAAGGGCCACCTGTCACCCAGGGAGTAGGTGATGATGAGGAAGGGCAGCGTCAGCACGTAAAGCAGGTCAGCTACCATCAGGTTCACCAGGTAGATGGTGGCACAGCTCCAAGGCTTGGTTTGGCGCCAGGAGAGCCACAAGACCGTGCCATTCAGGGGTAGTCCTAGTATGAGGATGACACTGTAGGTCAGGGACAGGTAGATTTGCTTGTAGTCCTCCGAGAACTTGCAGACTTGCTGGTCCCTCGAGGCATTAGTATCCAGCGTCTCCATTTCCTGGGATGCTCCCTCCGGAAGCACAGCTGCTTCTGCTTGTGCTTTACCTGGAAGGAAACAAAATGGGCAGCATAGCATCATGAACTTGGCTGCGTGTGTCTTAGGTTCTCCCTTGATCTGGCATTCAACTCTGTGTTCCCAGTCTGGTCAGAGTCCTTGTTTGACATAGGCCAGCTCCAGGAAGAAAAAAAAAATTAAACCCAAGGGCACAGGAGTCTTTTAAAGCAGGGCTTGTAGACTTACCAGCTCCAAAGGGCTGACCTTCCACTATCCTGTATGCTTTCTGCTCTAGGCTGGGATGTGATTAGGAAGCTCAAGTACACATGCTGCAGGGAGGTGCTGTAATTTCAACAGGGCATACAACCTCAAGCACTGTGACTCCTCTGCCTAGAATCCTTTGTATAGAGTCAGGAAATCTCCAAGGGCATTTGGATTTGTATCTCTTTCGAGATTTCTTAACTGCATATTTGAATACCGAGGCTGATTTGCTTATTAACCACCTCAGCATCCTGAACATCCAAAACCAAATCTAAGCCATGAGGTCAGGTGCAGCTTCTTCCATACTCCCATCTCTGCTGAGGAAGCAGATCCAGTAGGCAGATCCAGATAGCGGAGGAAACTGTGTGTGGAGCCTGCACATTTCTGTCACGCTGGGAAGTCAGTGGGTTGGTCAGCCAACCACCATGGAGCCTATAGGAATGAAAAATTTATTTCTAGGGTTTGACATTCAGAAAGACAAGCTAATACAGGGCAAGAGAGAAAGGTTTCAAATAGGTAACTGGCATAGATTGAGTGTCAACCAAAAGCTATAGCACAGTGCTACCAAGGGCTGACTATAAGCTGTAACGCAGAGCTTTATTCATAACAAAAGGAACAGAGACCTCATTCACTCTGTCAGTCAACAAACATTTATTGAGCATCTATTGGGTCTGGCACTAGGGATACAAAGATGAATAAAATACAGCTCTTACTCTCTAGGATTTCAGTCTGGTGGGGAAGACAGAAACCAATACAGCTAATTGTAACAATGTGAAGAATGGTCAGCAAAATGCTGTGAAGACCAGCAGGATCAGCAGTTCTCTGCTGAGCTGCTGTTTGAGCTGCTTGGGGAAAGAACAGAGGAGCTCGCTAGGCAAAGAAGGGTGAGGGGCCTTCCTTGGGGTTGGGGAGGCAGCCCACGAAAGGCAGTGGAGCTTAAGGCCTCCGCATTTCCTGGGGTGGCAGGGAAGCCAGCGTGGGGGTGCCCCCAGAAGGAGGGTGGGCGTTCTTCAGCAAGATGGTGATGGGATGGGCTGTGTGTGAGGAAGATCCCCAATAGCAGCTGAGAGCCAGGCCTGGAGCGGCCAGACCGTAAGGGAGCTGTAGCAGTGTACGCAGGTGAGGGTTGTTCAGTTCCCCAAGTGAGGCCATGCGGGGTGGGTGGAGGGTCGGTCTCTGGAGATGCTGCTGAGGCAGGAAGGACAGGACTGCGTGGACATGGGGCACGCACCAGAGGAGGAGTCGAGGGTGTCCCTGAGACGGAGTGAGTAGGTGGTGAGGCCAGGGCCTGAGCCAAAGCCTAAAGCTTGAACGTTGGGCCTGATGTTCTGAGGTTGGGGGACAGTGGCTCTCCAGGCTGCAGCTTGCCAGAGGGCTCACCTCCTTGTTAACTGGCTTTACAATCTACCTGACTAAGGAGAGCAAAGCTTTTTGGCTGGGTGAGTAAAAGGAATGTAGTTTTCTCTCATTTTGTTCCCTGTAATCTTTCATGTGGGGGGTTGGCAAATGCCTAGTTATTTTCAGCGAAGCTGCCTTCCCAGCTTGGTGTGGGCTCTCAGAGGGAAGACAAAGAGGGGAACCAACTTGGCTTAGTGCAGGCTCAGCCAGTTAGTTCACACTGTGAGCTTATTTAATCCTCAGAACAAGCTTGTGGAGGAAGCATTATTAGCTCCAGGTTACTGCTGAGGAAATTGAGGGTTAGAGAAGACCCCTCTATGGGGCTCACTAGGCCCTCTAATCTAGTATGCTGGTTCTTGATGTGGATTGTGGGTTTCTGCTCCCTCAGAGCGCCTTGTGGCGTGGTGGAAAGTGCTCAGATCTAGCTCTGCCAGGGGCCACTAGCACAGTTTGAACTAAGCCACTTTGTCTCTTGGAGCTGTGGTCTCTTCAGCTGTAAAATGGGGCAGTCTCTCTGTGAGGTGAGGTTGCCATGAGAATTAGCTAGAAGAAAGGCACACAGCACCCACTGGCCTGCCGCAAGGGAGAAACCCAACGTATTTTAGCTTTCTTCTCACACCTTCCTCTTTTGCTAGGGACTATGGTGCCCTGAAAACCTGAGCTCTTTTGTTTGTGTGGGAGGATGGGAGGGCAAGTGTGCCTTTGCTATCCCATAATTGGAGAAAGTCCCTTGTTTCTCTGTGGCTATTAACTTCTGCTGTGGTCTGAATTATGTCCCCTACAGATTCAGGTGTTGAACCCTTAACCCCTAATGTGACTGAAGTTGGAGTGAGGAAGTAATTAAGGTTAGATGAGGTCATAAGAGTGAGACCTTAATTCTGTAGGATTAGTGTCTTTGTAATGAAGGACAGCAGAGCATTGACTTTATGTGAGGACTTAGTGAGAAGGTGGCCTGCAGGCCTGAAACAGAGATCTCAACAGACACCAAACCCTGCAGTTCTCGATCTGGGACTTCTCACTTTCCAGAAATGTTTCCACTGTTTAAGCCACCCAGTCTGGTATTTTGTTACAGCAGCTTGAGCAGGCTGATACTGTATATGTACTTCAAGGCCTACCTATTGTGGAGAGACAGCTTTTCAGGTGAGAGGATGACCATCTTAGTCAAGGGATAAGTGTAGAGAACTACATGGTGTTTAGACTAGTGTATCATTGAGGTTGCTATTATGGAGAAAGGAAGAGGAAGAAGAAAAAGTCAGGTCATAAAGGGTTAATTCACTAGCTGAAAGCCCTGACAGTGTTGACCATCCCCTCCTCCCAGAAGCCTCTCTTTCCTGGCTTGTGTCACCCCTGGCTTTTTTTTTTTTTTGCCTCCCTAGAACTTCTAATTCTCCCCATTCACTGGGATGCAGAACTGAAGGGCCATGTAGCTATTCATAGAATAAAGGAAAGGAGTGGAGGAGAGGCAGGCTGGGGTTTTACAATAGATGAGAACTGAGGGGGCATCTGCCATGATGAATGGGATTCTAAGGAGAAGTCCGCACTTTTGGAAAGTGTGTACTGCATTATACAGTTTCCCCTCTTTATCACCATTTCCCCAAGAGCTTTCAAAAAGACTGACACAATTTAGGGTTGGAATTTGTTTCTTTTAAATGGGCTCAGTGGGAAGATGGGCCTTATGGAAAGAATGAAGCAGGTGTCCCCAGTGTATAGTTAAGTGGGTATGATGGCTTCTGACCTTGAGCCCAGGGTCTTCCCACTGTGAGTCTCCAAGAGCCTGGGTCTCTTTGTGGCCCCCTGCTATACAGACAGGGGCCTCATCAAGCCTTCCCAAGAGCAGTAGTGATCTCGGTATCACACTGGACATCTTTCAAAAGGGATGGGGAAGTCTTTGTCATCTTAATGGCCTAAAATAGCTATCATCCCCCAGGGAAAAGCACACCTGTGATGAAAGAACTGTTCTCTCTCCTTTAACAAGTTTATAAGATACATATTTCAAGAGTTCAGAAAAAAGAAAAGTGACGAATAAATTTGAGTAACGACAAAATGTTACTTTTTAAAAAAAGATTTTATTTATTTATTTGACAGACAGAAGTCACAAGTAGGCAGAGAGGCAGAAGCAGGCTCTCTGCTGAGCAGAGAGCCCAACGTGAAGCTTGATCCCAGGACTTGATCCTAGGACCCTGAGATCATGACCTGAGCTGAAGGCAGAGGCTCAACCCACTGAGCTACCCAGGCACCCCCTATGTTACTGCCTTTTGATTGTGGAGGAATGATTGTTGAATGAGAAAATCTTTAAAAAAGATTCTAGGCCAAAGGAGTGAGCATTGCTCATTTTCATTTTAAAATGCCACTATTGTATTATACATGTTTAAATCTATGAATTGATTTTAATATTTAATATTTTACCTATATCTGGAGACTTTTCTTGCTTAAACAGATGGAACTACTTAATGGAGTCTCATAAATACCTTCAGACAGTGAAAGTTCATTTTTACAAGTTATTCTGCAAAACTGTTGATTAATATGTGTATTTCTTAATTTACAAAGATGAATTACACAGATGAATTTACAAAGATAAACTACAAAGATGAATACCACAGTGTAATTATTTGATTTTTTGACAAGTTTTTTTTTAAAAAAATGAGGCCCCCAGGTACATTCTATGAGGTGGTGGATGAAAATAGTTGGTGGTTTACTTTGAATTACTTTTCTTATGTTTCAAATTCACTAGATAACTTGGTGTCATTTGGCCAGCAGACCAGTGGGTGGCGATGAAGACCGACCGGTTACAATCCCCACCCCCTCCCACGGAAGGAAGTAGAAACTGGGGTTGGGCTCAGGTCCAGGAACAGCAGCTGTGGACGAGGTATAATTCATTGAGGACATATAGGAAACCCCACCAAACAACCTCTTAATTGTCTTATGTCTACAGTTACTATGCTCGGTTCAATGAAATGGAGATACAGACAGCCAAAAGCAGCCTAGTATTGTGATTGATTTTTAAAAAGATCTCGTGAGACAGGCAATGTGGCAGTCATCCCCCCCACCCCATTTTACAGCTGAGTGAGCTGAGGTTCAGAGAGGTTGATGGAAGTCCTATCTGTGATGATTTGGGGGAAAGTCTGGACTTCTTTTACAAAGCAGAGACTCAGCTCATTCCCACATTTCCAGGAAATGTTTTCTCTCCCCTAACCCCCAAGTCATACAACAAAGAAGACACAGAAACAAAAGAGCAGGTCATCCCTGAAGTAACTTTATGTAGTGCCTTTGTTATAGATGACAGAACCCTAGTTTAAAAAGCATCATCTGGAAATAATGGCAAAGAGAGAACAGAATAAATAGAATTAAAAAAAACCTATCAAGAATGAGACCTATATAGCAGCCTTCTATCCAGTTTTAAACTATACCTGAGTCTTAAAATAAAA